CAAAAGTTGCTGCTGGCAGTCAAGATACTACCTGTTTTACAGCTTGCAACTGTACCTCTGGTACTTATTTCCTTTTAACTCCTGACATAATGTTTTTCTTCTGCATAATTCAGTCCCTTGGATGCTGCTCGGTTAATATTTAAAAAATTGATTTTTCATGGTATATCTCTGCTAGTTTATTTTGGATAAGATTTTTGGCTGCATAACTTGTTTGGTGTTACGAGGAAGAAAGGATGTGAAGCAAAGTTTAATATCTAACTAAATGATCTCTCCAGATGCCTGTATTAGCTTTGAAGCATGTTTCTGTTTCAATCATGGGTCTAGCCAGTTTTACAATAATCTATGTTTCTGTTTCAACGTTGGATTTTGCAGTGATTAAATGGGATAATTAAGCTGATAGGACGGTGGAACTAAGAGCTATGTGATTGTTTTTTGTGTCATCAGTGAATTGAAAGCTTGTTGGTTAAGAAAATATATCATTGATGGACAATTCACATATTTATGATTTGATTTATTTTGTTCATATTAACTGTGCATTATAGGAACAGAGGTTAAGTGAGATGGACCAAACCATACGCGCATAATGTGCTTGTAGATGCTCATATATACATTATCATAGTATTTTATTTCTTTTTTCTCTCCGAGTTCTTGTAACAGAGACAAATTTAATGAATATCATATTGATCCAAACACTTAAAAACCTTGTTCTTTCTCAAGTTCTGTTTGAAACTGGAATAACAATAACCATATAGAACAATCAAGTAGGATATTCAGATACGATATAATAAGAACAAAATGTTATTCTTTTTTGTATTTATCCCAATGACATATTTACATGTTTTTATTATGATTTTCTAGATGCTTAAGAGTGTCGAAAGCCACTGGCCAGTGGTAGGGTGAGTCATCCATTGCCTGACATGTTCGACTATGCTTGCTTCTTAACAGGATCTCTTACTGATGCTCAAGCTACAAGAAAACATATTTCTAGCAAAATAGTTGTGGTCATCCTATTATGTGTCATACTCACAACTCTTGCATTTCTTGCTTCAACAACATGGTATCTCTGCAGAAAGGACAAGTGCCCTATCCAGTCACCAACATTCTTGTCAGACAGAGAAACAAGTTGCAATAGTGCTACCAACTTAATTAGTCATAGGGCATCTTCAGTGTCGGAAACTAAAATCCGTGTTGATTCCCCCATTAATCCTATATCAGGTAGATGTCATTTATTATTCCCCCATCAATCCTATCAATTGTCCATTCCTTGTCATGATTCATCATACAAATGTTTTCTATTTTCTCAGGGTGTTTTCGCAAGGCTTCTTTCTTGTGTAGGAGCAAAACAGAGATTATACATGGAACTTTAATCTGTTTTGCATACTCTGAATTGGAACATGCCACCAATAAGTTCTCCCATTCAAATCTTATAGGACTTGGGGGAAGTAGCTATGTATATCGTGGTAAGCTCAAGGATGGTACAACTGTGGCAGTTAAGCGACTGAAAGCTCAAGGTGGAACTGATGCAGACCTCCTTTTTTCAAGAGAGGTACTGCCTGAGCTTGATACCACTTTTTCCTTATTTGCTAAACAACAACATCTGTATTTAGTTATTTCTTGAGGTGTAAACAAACTGTTTGTGCCTCACAAATAACGTGGTACGTTGTCATGTTGTTATGCACAGGTTGAGCTGTTAGCAAAACTCCACCACTGTCATGTTGTGCCTTTGCTTGGCTACTGCTCGGAGTTCCAAGGGAAGCTTTCTGAGAGGTTGCTGGTATTTGAATACATGCCTAATGGTAACCTGAGGGATTGTTTGGATGGAATTATGGGGGAAAACATGAACTGGCAAACTCGTGTTACCATTGCAATAGGAGCTGCAAGGGGCTTAGAATATCTCCATGAAGCAGCTGCTCCAAGAATTCTGCATAGAGATGTCAAATCCACCAATATCCTTATGGATGAATTATGGAGGGCTAAAGTAAGAATCTGTTTCTTGGGTCTCTATTAAAAATATTGACTCCAATTAGAAAGACAACTTATTTTAGCAAGGGCAGACTCGAACTTCAATCCTAGCTCCCTGTCCCCTTTTGCAAGGAGAAATTTTTTCCTACTGCAACTTATTTGAGACAACTGTCAAATATTCATTAGAATGGACAGGTTCTTATTCAAAATAACTAAGTTGAACAATGAAACCATAAATGCAATCAAACATTTATAATCTTACGATGACAGCTAAAATACGCAGATAACTGATCTTGGTATGGCTAAACGTTTAAGAGCTGATGGAGTTCCCAGCAGTTCCAGTTCTCCAGCAAGAATGCAGGGCACATTTGGATACTTTGCACCAGAGTATGCAATGATTGGAAGAGCCTCTCTTATGTCAGATGTTTTCAGTTTTGGTGTGGTTCTACTTGAAGTTATCACTGGTCGGCAACCAATCCATAAAACAACCAACAAAGTAGAAGAAAGCCTCGTCTTATGGGTAAAAAGCATCTTGATTTTGTTGCATGTATTTATATTTTATATCCTCTGGTTTGGGTAGATCACGAAACTACATCTTTTCCCAATTAATTATTTCTGCTGACTATCCCAAATTGTGACATTCCTTGATTATGCTAAAGATGATGTCTTTAGCAGATTATCATCATTGATGTTATGGAAACATAGAAAACTGTCTCGAGTAGCATACTAAGCAAATTGTGCCTGCCGAGTAATATTACTCATATGCAGTTTATAATCCTCTTCTTTTGTTTTTGTAGGCTACCCCTCGTCTCCAGGATAGCAGGCGAGTAATATCAGAGTTGCCTGACCCACGCTTGAAAGGGAATTTCCCAGAGGAAGAGTTGCAAATAATGGCTTACCTGGCAAAGGAGTGCCTGCTGATGGATCCTGATTCTCGACCAAGCATGAGTGAGGTTGTACAAATCCTCTCAACTATAGCACCAGAAAAATCCAAAAGGAGAAACATTCCCGTGAGTCTTTTTCAGGTAATGTAATAATAGCAAGTCAAGCCTTTTAATTTACTCATTCTTTCAATGCTACAACTATCCATGATGGTTTTTTCTTACTATTCTTGGTAAACAATGAGAACAATTTTGATGTAAATTGTGTGTTTAATTGCCTGAATTTTGTGTGCCTTTTGGAACTGCAATTGCTAGAAAACTATCACTCGTCTATATTTCTTGCTTATGTATCAAATCTGGTTGCCTCGTTTATTTGTTTAGTTATTCTCTACGGAGGTGAGGTAAACGTAGTGCTGCATTAATAGATTCTGAGAACATAGATGCAGGCAAATCATGCTTATGTATGCCATTGATTGAGTGAAGTCATTCCCACTCGCCAATTTTATTTGTCTGAAATTTCCTAAAATGCCTCCGGCTAACATGCACATTTATCCTTTTGATTCATGTTATAAATGTCACCGCTTATGTCTGACACAAATGTCTTAAATCCAGAGTGTGACAACTGATCCATTCAAAGAAAAACCTGACAGTCGAGCTGAAGATCCTGTTGATGCAGAGGAAGTACTGAATCGAGACAGGTTGTCAATTCAACAGTCAGCTTTTGATGTAGACCGCAACCTTTTTGTTGGAAGCTACATTGAAGGGGCAGATAATATTTCAACCAAGTATATGGAGAGGTTAATCATCTCGACTTCAAAAGCTCACGGTTGCGGTGCCGCAGATGATGAGGCCGTAGATTTAACTGAGCCTCGGTTAGAATCTTTCTGCGTGGAAAATGTTGAATCTGCTTGAAAGCTGCTCCCTCCCATTGAAGGCAAAGAACACTTTGTTCCGGTACAAACTCTTTTGGTTTCTTACACAGAGGAGAAGCATGCAAGATTTTAGAGGAGTTACCCTTTCTAATGTTGATTTTTTTATTCATTTAGCTTGAAAATGAAAAAGGAATCTTGCTCATATCTTCATTTATTTGTATTTAATTGTTCGTGTACAAAAAAATTTATAGAAAGCTCGTTTTGCGTCTATAATATGATAGATCTCACAAACAAAAGTTGATATAGTTTCATGCATGTGAAATAGTGCTGATGAGGAACATACGAGATATGACAAATCAAAAGAATAAAGATACTCAAAATCTCTTTTAGAGAAATACCAAAACCTAACACCAGAACAGAGTAAAAACTTGGCAAGAACAAAGATAATAAAGCTAAAAAAAATTAAATGACGAAGACAAAAAGCTACTGCAATTTACGCATCATATCCTCTCTTCAACCCCCCTTCATACTAATTTTTAGAACCAAAACTAATGCATAATTACCAAAATTAATTTCTGCTATTTTATCTTAATTTAGTCACTATATATATAAACCTAAAGCTTTTTGCCTTAAAATACAAACGTTTTTTCTTCGAAATTAAGTTGTTCAAGAAGAGGAAGGTTACTGTTTATTCATGGGCTAGAAAATAAAAATCCTTCATAAGTTAAAAGAATTATTTTACACCAAACTTAGACTCTAAGTTTCGGCCTATGCCCATCTCTTGCCGAGCTAAACAAGTGGCTTAAACTCAAAGCTCATTCAGCCTACAAGCTCTCCATTCTAAAAGCTTTAGTGTTTTATTGGCACTAATTTAATTCTTTAATTTCTCACTATATATATCACAAGAAAATTATGTAATTTTTTAAAGTGGGATTGATGATTTTGCGGTTTATAAAAAATATCAAAAAAATAATTTTTTATTCACTTATAAATTATTTTAAAAAAGATAATGTTCCATGTTAACTTATTTTTGTTGGAGAATAATTTTTAATTAAATCTTAACCCTTAAAATAAATAAATCCTACTTTTAATTTTCTCTAAAATATGTCAATTAACCATGTTTTTAAAATAATTTTCTCACAAATCTTTACTACCTTACATCAGATAAAATCTTTTAATATAAAATCTTCTAACCTGGTTCTTAGATATGCCTTTCGGTATTTCTTTTGGCAAGTCTAAGTCGAGGCAGTTGAAGTAGTTGTCCATATGCAGAGTTAGAGCTAGCCATGTTCAACTGTGATAATTAGTTAGGTCGTCCATTTTGCGAATCCTATATTTTGCGCAACTTTTGAATGGTAGTTGAAGGTGTGACCTGAAGAGAGGATGTTGAATAATGCTCTACCAATTAATATCAACCATCTAACTTCCACATAGAGGATACCATCACCCTCCAGAAGTATTCTCCCTCCATCTTAGGTCACCAATGGATCCACCGCCACCGCCGCCACCACCCACAGCTCCACTGCTCGGTCCAGAAAGCCATGGTGGAGGATGCTGGGATTCATGGTAAGCTGTTCCTTTTACTTATACATTTGCTACATCTGGAGGAACATGCAACATCGGTAGCTAGATCTTGACCTTATACTACTTTATTAATTGCTGACTGGGAATAATATTAACCTTCTGCAGTTTGTGGTTCCTGTGCTGCTGTGGCCTCTTTTCATACTGTTGCCCTCCACTGTTTGAGCCTGTGCCTCCTCCTCCCTAAAGCTGCGTTTCTTTAGATATAATTCTTTGGTTCGTCAGAAGAAACCAGAATACGTAGTTCATTGACACCTTTATCTTCTGATTTTTTTCCCGAAAAATGTTGTGATAACAAGATTTCTTTTGTGTTGATTCAAACTTTTTTTTTCCCGGGTGTTGTGTGGTTCTGTGTCTATGTTTAGCTGCTGAATTTTGAGTCTTCTGATTTTTTTCCCGAAAAATGTTGTGATAACAAGATTTTCTTGTGTTGATTCAAACTTTTTTTTTCCCCGGGTGTTGTGTGGTTCCATGTCTATGTTTAGCTGCTGAATTTTGAGTCGCAAGCCGGCCAGAAAAGTAGCTTCTGGGATTTGTATTTGGTATAATTTGTCGGAATTTGTATTTGTGGAGTTAATTAAGACTTTAATGTATACTCGTTGTTCTGTTGCTTTCGCTCTGCGTGTGATAAACATGCTCCTGTTTTTTTTTTTTTTAATAATAATGCAAACCCATAAAATATAAGGTTCACCTCATCAAAACCCTGTACAATTTTAATGTATACTCGTTGTTCTGTTGCTTTCGCTCTGCGTGTGATAAACATGCTCCTGTTTTTTTTTTTTTTAATAATAATGCAAACCCATAAAATATATGGTTCACCTCATCAAAACCCTGTACAATTAAAGAAACCATAAGTGTGAAACTCCATTTATTATGAAAAATCTAAGTTAAAAATGGACACAGTGGAGAATTCATTAAACAATGTCATTAAAATAAATGCCAAATGATCTAATATTGAAAACTCTCAGCCTAATTGATCACCTAAATCAAAAGTAAAATTAAATGTATAGAAATTACCATGATATGAATAGATTAATTTAGCAAGTTCAAAACCAACTCGAAAAATTAAAAAACTAAATTAAAGGTCAATCTAAGAAATGACATTTCTCTATTGTTTTATTATTGGGGTGGTGACATTAAATCACATATAATTAATTGGGATAAACATTAAATGTGTAACTCAAGTAATAAATATGATCATAATGTGCTAACTCATCGAGCATCTATCAATTTTCCTTACCTTTTCTTAGTATAGCATAGCTTGGATCCTATTTGAGTTTGAATTAGATGAAAATAAGTCTTAAATTGAAAATTTATTAGAGAATAAGAGGTTAAATTGAAAAAAAAAGAGGTCCACTCGAGAGAATGAGATTCATGCCCTAATTAAAATGTTATTATTGAATTAAAGATTAAATCAAATGAAAATCAGCTTCTAATTAAAGAATTATTAGTAAATGAGAAATTAAATTGAACGGATTAAATGAGATTCATAGCTTAATTAAAAAGTTATTATCAAATTAAAAGTGAAATTTTTTTAAAAAAAGTTGACATATACAAAACAAGAATCAACATGTAAATTAACTCCATTAATTTTGAGCGGTGCATATAGTTTTTTTCTATTTTCAAAGGTGATAATTTTTAGTATTTCTAGAATTGTTTTGGTGTTCTTATTTTTTTTAGATAGCACATGTAAGGTGTTTTGTGGATGACAGGATACCAATTATATTTTTTTTTATTTTCTTTTTCTTCTTTTTATTTTTTGTCTTTCCTCCCCTCAATTCTAGAATCTAATTTGTTTCTTCTTGATTTACAACTTTTTTTTTAACCCCTCTAGTTTATCTTTTTATAATAAAAAACTCGATCAATTTTTCCTGCTACCAGGATTTTTTTTTTTTTGACTAAGCAAGAAGGCTATAAAAAGATAACAAAATTGAACTACAAAGGCAATCGCAAAATAGATTAACACAAAAGGATTAAATAAAAAAATAAGATAGCAAAACAAATAAAAAAATTGTATTGTATGAATTGACAGTGAAATAGAGTGGACGACCACAATAATGGCAACACTAAATTGCCTAGGCGGTTTAGTTTTTCTTAATTCTATTGAGACTAATTAATTGATCCACATTAAATAGTTCATTCACCAATATTAATCATTCTCAATTTATTCTTTTTTTTTAAATAAAAAAGCCCTTTTTACCTTATCGAATTTTTCCATTTTTCTTGCATCTCTTTTATTTATTCTACTTTTCAAAAAAAAGAAAAAGAAAAAAAATAAATTGAAGAAGAAAAAGGAATTAATCGAAGGAATAAGTTTTAAATGTGTTTAAAAACGTAGGATTAATTATGCTATATGGCTTCTAAACTATAAAGGTTATTTAATTTTTTTTTAAGACTAAATTATAATTACATAAAAAATTTCATATCTTTATAATATGAAAGCTAGCACATCAAAAGAGAAAAAAATTTAAATGAAAATATTCTTATTATTTTTTATAGAGCATAGATTTTAGTTTACTTTATTTTTTTATTTATGCCTTTTTTATTTAAAATAAAATTTAAAAAATAACTAATAAGATATTATTATTTACTCCATGCATTATAAAATCTCTTTTTAATATAATTTTAGAGTAGAAAATATAAAAATATTTATTTTATATTATTTTAATAGATATAGACATGTCAAAAAAATAAATTCATATTTGGTTGAGAATTGAAAAAGAAGAAGTTAAATTTAGGATAAATGACAACAATCATTATCATGAAATTACATATAAAAAGAATTCTAAAATTTGAATATTCGTCATACCCAATGTGCCCTTAATTATTATTCAAATAAATTAATGTTATTCATGTATTAAGAAATAATCATAACCTATTTTAAAAAAAAATTAAAAAAATTAGATAATACATGAAAAATATTATTGCTGGTAAAAGAATATCTCAAACTATACATAAAAAATTCATATGATATAAGTTAATTTTTTTTTATCATATTAATAATCAAAGCAAGTAAAAACCACAGCAAAGCAAAATAAGCTAAACCTCCCTTTCTTTCTTTCTCTCACCCAATGACCTCCAAAGGTGGTGCAGCGCCAAGCACTTACACTCCCGCTCCCCCTCCCACCTACAAAGCCCAACGTCCTCCATTCTTCACTGACTCTGACGCCGACTGGACACGTTCCGATGGCCGTGGTTTCCACCAGTGCCGATCTGCCTGTAATATATCTTTCCCTTTTTACTGTTTAGCATTGCTTCTTGTTTTTTTTTTTTAAAAAAAAACTTGCTTAATAGTAATTAGCCTTTAATAATCTTCTATGATTACACTGAAGGAATGATCAGTTTTTGCATGTGGGTTTACTTTCTTTTTTTTTCCTTTTTACCTTCTTGGGTGCTGACTTCTGATTCTTTAACTTATGCTGACATGTTTTAGGCATTCTTGTTCTTCTTTCTCTTCTTTTTCCCTTTTCTATATAACATGAAGGGCTGTGCTATCTCAATGTTTCACTGTAATATGTGCTTTAGGGTGTCAATGATTATGAAAATCTGTAAATTTACGTTTTTTGTTTTCTTTCTTTCTGTTGTTCATCGAAATGATTTCCATTAATTATTGTTGATTTTATTATCTTACATCTTTATGTTCTGTGAAAGATGCTACATTTTTATTGTGTAATGGTGTTATGCTAAGAAAATAAATAAATGAATGAATGAATTGATTCCCTTGTTTCTGGTTCTTCATTTATTTTCCCGATGATTTGAATTCTCATACTAGGGGCATTGAATTTCGGAAAATTGAGGTTTCTGTCTCTGTGTTTAGAAATCTGGTTTCCTTTGCATGGAATGATATATTTACATCCTCTCTAAGGATTCTCGTGGTGTGGACATTCCATATAACTGCCTGTCAGTCTCTGTCTCCTTTTGTTATGGGGTACCATTGTACCAACTTTTCGGTGTTGGGTTGAACACATCCATGGATGGAATTGATTCTCATGTTCTATTAGCAGAGTCTTTATGTCCTAGATGCTAAAACCCACCAATTCCTAATTTATACGGATTGCCCTCATCTTAAATATGAATGTGATTCGTTACCACTGAAATGAAAATTTTATTTCGACTTTTTAAATTTTGATTGTTAATGGAGAGCATGTGGCTCATATTTCTATTTTTTTATCTGTTTGCATGTACCATTCACATAAGTACTCTATTATCATCCAGGGATTATGCAGGAATGATATTTTTTTGTTTAATTTACTTGAACTGAAATGTTTTTCGTTTGCAGTTTTCCGGACTGGTGCTGTCAACTCTGCTGCAGGATCTGCTTATGCTGAGTTTGGAAATACAAAGGTCATTGTTTCTGTGTGAGTATTTCCTTTTCTATATTTGGATCTCATCGCAATATTTGTAGTTTTTTTGTTTCGGGTTTAAATTTATAGATTATATTAGCATGACGGAACCATGATAGGAGATTTAATTATTACAGCAACCATCATATATGAACTTAGTTTTACATTGTACTTCCCTTTTCAGGTTTGGGCCCAGAGAGAGTAAGAAAGCAATGATGTATAGTGACAAGGGCAGGCTTAATTGCAATGTTAGCTATACCACTTTCGCCACCACTGTTCATGGACAGGTATGTGAAGCAACAGCATCTACAATATTTTATGATACTCATTTTCAAACACCTACTATCCTTTTGAAGTTATTGTAACTAATATATGATGCCCCTTTTTGCCAGGGATCAGACAACAAAGAGTTTTCCACCATGCTTCATAAGGCATTGGAAGGGGCTGTAATGCTGGAAACTTTTCCCAAAACAACTGTAGATGTGTTTGCATTGGTGTTAGAATCTGGTGGCAGTGAGTTACAGCTTCATACTAACATCTGAATCTCGGTCTATTGGAAAAGAATGTTATGTCTAGTTTGCAGGATAGCAAACCATCTTTATGACTACTAAGCAAAACTTGCACTGGGAATATTGTTTTTCTGTTTACAATAAAAAACTGTAAAGCTTTTTCATCCTCTCAAGTTTTCTTGTTTCTGCAGCCTGGTTTTCCGATAAAATTTTAGTGGCTATTAAGAATATTTTCTTTAAACTCATTAACAAGATTATGTTTTTGCAGGTGATCTTCCTGTTGTAATATCTTGTGCAAGCCTTGCCTTGGCAGATGCTGGGATTATGATGTATGACCTTGTTGCTGGAGTTTCTGTGGTATGCTTCATGTATAGACTTGAGGTTTCCTGAAACTGTTCTAGCTGTTATCTGACATGAAGTTTATACATTGTATGCATTTACACAATTATCCAACGCAAATTAGTTAAATATCTTCTAGTATTTATTTTAATTTTAATTAGTCTGCTTGATTGTTGTTGATGTGCATAAACCAACGCTAATCATTGGACACAACTGCAAGTTTCAGAGCTTACAAAGAGTTATGTTCAATGTAATTATCGATCATCATTCTATCACCAATAATTTGACCTGCCAACTTCTTTTGCTGGTCACTTAGGGATGAGAATGCTAGGGAATTTTAAATCCACCCTTTATGAGTTGAGTTCTTTATTCAAATGTGGTCTTTCATTCAAGTAATTTATTTTTGTTTCTTTCTTTCTTCCCTCCTTCCCTGCTTCCTTTCTTTCTTTTTCTCCCCTAATTTTGCTTATATGCGTTTTCCTTCACCAAAAATATTTACTGATTGAGTTTCTATATCGCATTTGTTCAGTATGTGATTAATTTTAAATAACCTCTTACCATCTCTGTTTGTTTTGAAAATGTTTCTAGTTTGAAAATTGGAGCATTGATTAGTATTGTCATATATTTATTTATTGCTAATAATTGATAGAAGAAAGATGTGTTTTAATAACTTAACAGTAGAAATTTTATTTGGGTGTTTGGTGTAATTTAGTCTCTGGGACAAAATACTTTGTAATGGGTAGTTTTCCCAAAGTTTGAACTAGAAAAAGAAATTGACTGAACCTATTATCATCCTGGCCTGTTCCTTTGTTCACTATAGAATTTGTTAGCTCATAAAAGGCCGTCTTGTAGTTAGTCCCATTGAACCTGATAGTGGGAAAGAAAATTTGATACCTCTAAATTATTACACTATGCTAAATAACTACTCATTTGATGGTGTGATTGTGCTATGACATGGCTCTTTATGAATATAGATGGAGATCCAGGAATTCAGGTGGTCATCTTAATATTTGTTGCCTTACTGGACTGTTTTCCCTTTGTCTGGTATTGCTTTGCTCTGACTCTGTAGAAATCATTCTGAGGCTGTTTCTAAGTAAGTTGATTGTGATTCAGTAGAAACATGTTAGTGTAATGATTGGCTCAAGAAGCTTTCATGTCTATAAAATGTTGTGCAGTTCTATACTTCACTCGAGATATATCCAGCTGCTTTAATGACTTCAACTCATTTATTTGATTCACATTTGTTTTTTCCATGTTTTGTAAATTAGCTTCTTCGTTTTGCAGTCTTGTCTCGGCAGAAACCTCATCATTGATCCAATTTTGGAAGAGGAAAGTTTTCAAGACGGAAGCCTGATGATCACTTGCATGCCTTCTCATTACGAGGTCACGCAGCTTACCATTACAGGGGAATGGTCAACTGCAAATCTGAATGAGGTGCGCCATCTAAACTGCTAACGTCATTTGTTAAACTACAGGAGAAATTATACCCTATACATAGCAGTAAGCAATCTAAGGTGTGTGAAGTTTAGCTGGACTGATTTTGCTTGTCACAAACAGGCAATGCAGCTTTGCTTGGATGCTTGCTCAAAGCTGGCAAAGATAATGAGGTCCTGTTTGGAAGAGGCTGCTTCAGCTTCCAAAGATTAGAAAGAACCTCCTTGTAGTGATTTTGCTAGCATAATACAGATCACCTTTTAGCTGTTTTTACCCTCTCTTCCTTTCCCTCTATAAACAATAAATAATTTCTACAATTTTGTGAGAACTTTCAATTTTCCTTGTCAATGCTCACGTGTCTCTGCATTTTTCCTTCTTTTCGCAGCTACCAGTATATTTCTCTAGCCAGCTTCTTACACTACAAAGCAGACTGCAGAGTGATGTTGGGTTCCTCTATGATATTCTTTGTTTATTGATGGATTTATTGCTTTCAGTCTCATCTTAAGGTTGCTCATCTCCCCATGCCAGGTGTAATTATGGTGTAACTGTTGCATTTTTTCTCGTGTTAGCAATATCGTTTGGGTTGCTTTTTAATTATTTATGATGGATCCACCATTAAAATGCTAGTAGAATTTCCATCCAAGATGAATTTTAAGAATATCTAAACAAAAATAAATGCATTGACAGCAAAAGGAATCTGCTGCAGTAAAATTGAGATGAAGGCATTGCTGATGTCATTGCAAGGCAACATGAAAACAGAAAGATCAATGACTAATTGTCCTGCCATCTTGAGAGGCCTAGGCACCGTTTAGCGTAGAAGTGCAACTACTGCTTTGTTAAATTTAATTTTGTTTTGTTTTAAATTATTTTTTTTGTAATTTTAAATTATTTTCGTGTGTAAATAAAAAATGAATTTTTAAAAATAAAAAATATTTCTTTAATGTATTTTTAAATAACACCTTGAAAAACAATTTATGATCAAATACACCCTTAAAAAGCAAATAGAATCAGAGAAAAAACATCTCTTCGTTCAGGGAGAGGGAGGGGAAGGGTAGCTAGCGTGGCTAGCGTGGGCGAGACCAAGGGGAGACAGAGGAAGGGTGGCTAACGCAAGGTGGAAAGAGAAGGGAGGCAGAGAAGAGAAAGAGGAAGGAGGAGAATAAAGGAAAAGGACAAGGAAAAAGAAAATAAACATAAAACTTAAAAAAAAAAATGATTTTTTATGATTAAATTGTTGTAATATTATTTTTTTTTGTTCAAAACAATATTACAATGTATATAAACTATTTTATACATGTTCATATATAGCCATGGCCACCATTGTTGATATACGAGAAGATTGAATTAAAAGAGTGGAAAATGTTCATCAGACCCCATCAGTTAGCAAATGAAGCGTAGCAGAGGATTTTGGGTCAATGAAATGACTAGCTTGTAATGTAAGAGCTCCTCCTCTATCTTTGTTAAGTGTTACTAATATTGTTTTTTCTGTGTGACGATTACCAGTTTCTAGGCAGATAAATTATGTTTACAGAATAAAATACAGTGCTTTGTGAATCTTAGGCCATAGGTTTACTAACCCTTTGTTTTCCTCTTGTGGCTTTAAACTAATGTCTTCTCAGTTTCAGTTGATTCCGTGCTGCATATACCCTTAAGTTTGCAGCACACCTTAATTTATCTTTCTTGTATTGCAGATCAAATCCATTAATTTATGCCACAGCTTTACTCTCAGTGGAACAAAATGGGTTTTGGGAATTCAGGATATGTAGGTATACCTTAATCACCCTTCTATTTCTTTAATTCTTATCATAATCTATCATTAGATTTCTAATTCTTCTCCCTCATTCATCCATGAGTCCACGAGTGGGAGCTATATAGTTTCATGTTCATGACTAATTTCGCTGTCCAAGTCAGCTTACTGAATAAGTGGGATTTTAGATCACTTCCTAAATCTGAGACTTGCATGTAACAATGTTTCGGGTTTACAGATGATGTTGAATTAAGCTTACAGCCGACAGTAACATTCAAATCTAAAAAAACGTGTAGAGTTTCCTCCGAGGATTATGAGAAAGTGAACAAAACGATATTGGATCCTTGAGAATCATCAGTGCGGAGATGGACTCAGATCTTTTTGGTAGCATGCTTAGTTTCTTTGTCTGTTGATCCTCTATTCTTTTACCTGAGGCAAGCAAAACGGCCCTTGAAGCCTTCCTCAGAATTGTCAGATCAATGGCTGATGCCTTTTACATGATTCAAATTTTCATTCGTTTTCGCAGCGCCTTCCTCCCGTGTTTTTGGGAGAGGAGAACTTGTTAACGATTCTAAAAAGATTGCGTTAAGGTGCCCACAGAAGAATTTCTGGATTGGCCTTAGCCTCGCCTCTTCCTCAGGTATGCGTACGCCTTCTTCTCTGTCTTAATTTCAACAGGAAGTCAAAGGATTTCACAAGTTAATCAGGGCCGTTTTCTTGCTTTATCTGCGTTACAGATGTTAATTTGGATCGTAATCCCCAATCTTAGTGGTTCGACGACGACATTAAAAATCTTCTTCGGTTCATCATCATTTTTCGGCATCTCCCACGACCTTTTCTGATATATTTTATTTTGCTTCAAATTAGTTTATATATATATGAATAATTTAATATATCGATATATTAAAAATAATTTTTAAGAATTTAATGTTACGGCTGCATTGTTCTTCAAAAAAATTACTTTTATTGTCTTTGGGCTCTCCACATCTCCCCGTTTTCTTGTTTTTTCAGGACTGCTTTCACATGAAGTCCACGAGATAACTTCTAGTCCTTTTGAGTTGGTTTCATTCTTTGAACCACTTCTTTAAATTCGCTTAAATCTTTGGGCTGCTATTCTATGTATCAAAGTTATTCTCCACTGATACAGATTCCACTTGCAGAGATACCTAAAATCAACAACAGTTCGCTTCGCAGAGTGGAGAATCGAATAATAATAAAAACTAAAAGATCCACTGTTTTTACTATGCACTATTTAAAATACTATTAATTGTAATATATATATATATATATATATATATATTACCTTGTGTGGGTATATATACATATATTTTTTTTAAATTTTATTTTTTAATATTTTATTTATTAGAGACTCAACTTCATAATTTATTATGATTTATTTTTATATGATTATTTTAATTTCATGACTAATACCACATATTTGACAAGTTAATATAATTGACTTGATTTTTTTTTTTATTTTTTTCAATTGATATATATATATATATATATATATATATATATATATATATATATATATATATATATATATATATATATATATATATATATATATATAATTTTATTTTTTCAAGATTTTTAATATTAGGTTGATTAGGAATTAAGTTTTATCATTTGTTTTAGTTTGTTTTATGTGAGACTATCTTTGTCTTATAATCCAGATAGCAGGTTTTGTAAGTCAACTCGGGTAGATTTATGTCATTTTATTGTGTCATTTTCTTAGATTGATTTTTAAAAATTTATTATTCAACAATGATTTTATTATAAATGAAACTACATACTTTATTTGTTTTGTTTGTTGTAGGGTTTATCTAGTCTCGTAACTCAGGTTAACTCGAGTTATTTTTTAATTTATTTTCTAAGAGATTATTATGGTTCCATGACCCAAGTATTTGATTTGGTGAGTTAATCCGTGTTAACTTGAGTTGTTTTTTAGGAATTTTTTAATTTTTTTTAATTTTATTATTCAATATTGAATTGATTTGAAATTCAGTTTAATAATTTATTTTGATTTTCTTTATATAGGGTTATTATAATTTTATGACCCAGTCGTGAATTTAGAAGGTTAATTTAGGTTAATTCAATATGTTGTTATCTAAATATCTTTTTTTTTTAAATAATATCATCTTGAGTTTCGAGTCAAATTATATTTTTACTAGTAATTTAGGTTTTCTTTGGAATCATTGAGTTGACCCATTTATATCAGTTCAACTCCCATTCGATTTAAATTCTTTTCTATAAGAAAAACATTAGTTACACCTGAATGTATTTTTTTTTACATAAAAAAATTGATCTGATCATAGCATAGTGGGTGCCAACAATCTAGTATGCTTTCTAGCTAATCGATTGATTACATGTAAGATTGATTTTATTAACATAAAACAAGTTAATTATTAATAAAAATGTTTTTTATCTTTAATAATCATTTATATTTTATTAATGAATATAATATTTGACTCATAAATTTAGAGTACAGATAAAGTATATGAGACAAAAATACTTTACAAATAAAATTATAAAATTATTATAATTATGAGATTTCTATCCAATCAAGTATTATTCTTAAATGTTCTTGATCAATATTCTATTAAGATTAGACATTAATTAAAACTGTTGAAACCAATGTATATTATGTTTATTATTTTATAAAAATACATGATTAATACTCTCATAAATTGAGATATGAGGGGTACTGAAACTAATTTATATGTGCTTTTTAAATGATATGGACACTGAATTGATCCGTATGAAAATTCTATATAAAAAGATAATTTATGTTTATAAAAAAACTTATGTGCCAGTTGTGTAAATGATCTTTAGATTTTAAATTATCAAGTTATTTTATATAGTGAATGTTATGTTTTGATTTTGACAACACACCATAATCAAAGGTAGCAAATGAGCAAATATTTGGATATAACATAAAATATATAAAAGTGTTTGAGTAACCAAGAAATGATTCATCATTCTAGATGAATTAGAAAAAATATTTCATGTTTTCTCAAATAGTATTGATTGTAAAATCCTTGACCAAGTTGAAATAAAATTTAAAAAGAGTTTCAAATTTTATTCAAATAATTAATGACTTTAATATTGAGAACAAAAATGATTTAAGAAAACAGACATTTCATGCTATAATGTCTAAATTAGAATATTCTTGATGAATGAATAATAATTGCACTGAGAAATTAGTTACTAAAAGGTTAAGTCAAATTACGTATGACTTTTATACTAAAAGGTTAAGTCAAATTAGTTACTAAAAGGTTAAGTCAAATTACGTATGACTTTTATACTATTTAGGAGATTATAATAGGTTGTTAGATATTGTTTGTGATCATCGAATATAAATTAATTAATTGTTGAATTGATAATAAATTAAATTATTTAATGGGTCACACATATAAAAATCATTAGTTAAAAATTAAAATAGAATGATTAGTAAAGTGTAATTTGATTATAAATAAGTTTTATAAATTGAAAACTAGAATTAATTAATACATGGGATTACAATTCTAGATCTAGAAAAAAAAATTAAATAGGGACTTGATTGAAATAAATTTCTAAATATATATAATATTATTTAAGGGAAAAAATTGATATTTTATTATTTATAAGGTTTTCATATTTTTCTATAAATAGAATATTATACCTCTTTTTTTTTAACAAAAAACACATAATAACTAATTTAGTTACAATGACATCTAAAACACAAAATAAAAGAGTTAGTATTA